CCGGGGGAGACCAGAGACAAGGTAACGGGAGGCCATGCCTCGGAGACGAGGCAGGGAGGGGTGACCAAGGCGGTGGTGCCAGAGGGGAGTCTGGTGGGACAGGAGACGACACGAGCAGGGAGCAGACTCGGGACCAGACCTGGACGCTGCAGCAAACACCTGACCCGACGCAGCTACCTGACCAGACTCAGCAACAGGAGGAGACTCAGTAGTCAGTGTGTACAGGCTCGATCCCGGCTGACGGGTTAACGTGGCCAAGTGTCGGCCCGTCCGAGCACACGTACAGTGGGTCACCCGCTGACTCGCAGGAGTGAACTGGTCAACCCCCCCATCCTGTAGATCAGCACCACTCACCAAGTTCGTAGAGAACGAGGGGAGGTAGAGACCTGACAGGGTGCCAGAGGGGGCCGCCGGACACGATAAGACAGTGGAGAAGTGGGCAAGGACAGGACCCCCAGAGGGGTCCGCCAGGGAGACCGCAACTGGCCGACTAAGCAGCGTAAGCGTGGTGCGGTCTCGAAAGAAGGAGCTGGAAGCACGCGAGTCAAGGGTGAAGGTGTGTAAGGCCTGAGCCGACGTGGTACCTAAGAGAGCAGACTCACCAGCACCTGGGGCAGCAGACGCACGAGCACCTAGAGCAGCAGCCTCACCAGCACCTAGAGCAGCAGCCTCAATGCCCGGGTCAGGCGGAACACACAGGTAACAGTCACCCTTATCACTAGTAGACACAACATACATGGCAGCAAGAATGGCATCATAATCTAGATCAAAGATAGCATTCCTCGACCTAAGCAGCTCGCCCCAGCGGGGGATCTCAGTGGCGTCAGGGAACTGGAGACGCCAAGCGTCCGTCAGGCGGCCGAAGCAGCGCTGGGTGGTGTGCGGGCCACCGCACGGCTCACCAGTGCGGTCGCCGGTACGCAGGACGTAGGCACAAGGACCAGCACCCCCACCCCGCTGACGCACAGCGTACCACTCACGAAGCTGCTGGGGGGGCGGGGTCTCACGAATGCGCTGCTGCTGCTGGCGCTGACCACCACCGAAGCCGCCCCGGTGCGCAGAGCCACCCCGACCAGCTCCACCTCCGCCGCCGCCACCTCCGCCACTGCCGCCACCACCTCCTCCTCCGCTCCCACCGCCACCGCCGCCGCCGCCTCCGCCTCCACCGCCGCCACCGAAGCCCCCACCCCCGCCACCACTCCCACTGCCACCCCCACTCCCTCCGCTGCCTCCACCGCCACCTCCACCGCCCCCGCCAGCCCCTCCAGCGCCCTTGCCCCCCTTGCCCTTGCCGGTGCGGCGTCTCCCGCTAGGGGCAGACGCAGCGCCGACCGACTTGGTGCCAACGAAGTCGACGGCAGCAGCAGAGGCAACAGAGGGCAAAAGGGGGGAGGGGGAGCACCCCTCAAAGAAGGGGGCACGAGGGTCACCACGAGAGGCTCCTACAGTGACTATACTCTTCTCAGCTGCCAGGAGGCGCTCCTCGAGGAGGTCAACGGTGAGTGTGGTGGGTCAAACAGAGAGGAAGTGGTCCCTGACCGAACGAAGGGAGTCAGGGAGCCGGGTGACTATGTAGTAGAGGGTGATGTACATGGGGGGGGGGGGTTCTTGGCGCAGAACTCAGCAGGAAGCGCAGCGCGGTAGCGGGTGTCACTAGTGCGAAGGTGCGTAATGAGGTCAGCGACTGTGGGAAAGGCGGCGAGGTCAGGAAACAGGTACGGCAGCATGAGGCGGCTAAGGGCAGCAGTGGCAGGGGAAGAGTAGCGTGCAACTACAGCGTCGTACAAGGTCTTAGCACTCTTGTACTGACTAAAGTGCGCGCGCTCAGTGGACGGCAAGTGACTACGCACAGCAAGACGGGCAGCAGCATCGCGTGTGGCCCACTGTGAGCGAACAGTACTGTCAGCATCGGCAGCAGGGGCAGCAGAGGCGCCAGACGTGAGATCAAACAGTGAGAGACCGTCCTTCCTATCGCACTGTAGGAAAAGCTGTAGATCATCGACCCAGACCTCAAAGTCAACAGCCCGACCCTCAGCATCAAAGACTAGAACGTTAGGGGTAGCCATGACAGCAGTGGCAGCAGGCTAGGGGCAGCAGTAGCAGGCTTGGCTCGGCAATGCTCTTACCAGGGCAGGTAGGTAGGGGCCGGCAAGCGATGGGGCAGGGCCGAGGCACGTCGGCAGGGACAGAGCCGCGACCGCGGCGGCAGCTCCTGCTGTCAGTGGCGGCGGCAGTCCCGGCTGTCGGCGGCGACGGCTGCTGCAGTCGGCGGCCGCCGCTGCTGTCGGCGGCGTCTGCTGCTGTCGGCTGCTGCTGGCGGCGGCGGCGGCTGCTGCTGGCGGCGGCGGCGGCTGCTGCTGGCGGCGGCTGCTGCTGTTCGCGGAGGAGCCGAGAAGAGGCCGGGAAGGGTGGTGAAGGGGCCGTGAAGGGCGGCGACGGGGCCGCAAAGGGCGGCGACGGGGTCGCGAAGGGCGGCAACAGGGCCGCGAAGGGGCCGCGAGGGGCCTCGAAGGGCGGCGACGGGGCCGCTAGGGGCGACGACGGGGCCGCGAAGGGCGGCGACGGGGCCGAGAAGTGGCCGCGAGGGGCCTCGAAGGGCGGCGACGGGGCCGCTAGGGGCGGCGACGGGGCCGCGAAGGGGCCGCGAGGGGCCTCGAAGGGCGGCGACGGGGCCGCTAGGGGCGGCGACGGGGCCGAGAAGGGGCCGCGAGGGGCCTCGAAGGGCGGCGACGGGGCCGCTAGGGGCGGCGACGGGCCGCGAAGGGCGGCGACGGGAACCTGCTCTATACCATGGGAAGAAATGAGGAATGAATGCAGTAGGAAACAGGTGGGTACAAGTAGGAAAACCTAAAAGTGTTGTACCCCATATTGTCTACCCCACTACAGCCTTTACAGACTATAGCATATAAGTTTGACAAGGGGAGTGGGGAGGGATCTTAAAGCTGCGGTCTACATTCATCAAGGGATTTTACGGGGGCATTTATGGAGAGCACCCTTTGATGGCCACTGTTTTGACAGCGAAGCAACCCTCTCAGTGAGACTAGTGTGCGATGTGACTCCAACATGGTTGGCGAGCCCCGCCAGTTTCGTGCGTAGGGTCGTGTGGGAAATCATGGGGGAAACCCGGTTGAGCTTGGCGGAAGAATTCGCAGAAGAGCGGAAGCAATACACACCTGACTGGGTGAATTATCAGGAGCGGGTTCCAGTGTTGTCTGCAAAACGAGAAATGCACCTCGACAAAAAAGTACGGAAAGAAGCACAGTAGAGAGAATTGGCGACTAATCATAACGACGCGACCTTACTCACATACTGCAGCGACGACTAGCATGGCTCAACCGTATGACATGTCTGCAGGCGCAAAAAAAAATATCGAGGAATAACTTATAGTCGCTGGTGAGTTCCATGACACTTAGCACGAATATGTGAGAGTGGCGAACCCGCATCGAGCTACCAATACGTAAGGGTGGAATGCACTAAAGTGGTTTAGGCACGCATCACTTTCATCAGACCTGTCAGCCTTCCTTCCAGGCTTAGGCATTGCATCCGTCTAGCCCACCTTGTTGCATGCCACGTCTAGACGAATAGCGTTCAAATAGCATCATTTGAATCTTACTATTGACTTCAGAAAGTACAAGGCGTTCGAAACGGTGTTCAGGGTTGCGGCATTCACTCCTCATGCGCCATCTCACGCCTCCCACGCTGCTGGTCTAGCCTCACGCGCCGCTTCACGCATCGCCAAACTTGCTTGTCTCGCTTTCGTCTCGAAAGCTATTCGCCAGCATCTAGTTGGGTAAAAGCACTCGCTTTAGCTTACAAACCATTGGTTTTAGCCAGTGGTTTGCGATTTCGCAGGTTCAGAGGCGTTTTGTTTGCGTTTTGCCGAGCGCAAGTGCGACATTTGGCACGCGTCGTACCTGTTTCCGAGGCAAGGGTGGCAAGAAATAGGTCGGGCCCACGTTTGGAAGTGCCTGAGAATATTTCGGCCAGTCAAGCAGCTCCACGCTTGCACGATATGGTTGGTCGAAATTGGTCACAGCCACGCTGGTCTGTGAGGCCATTTATCTTCGATAAGTGGACCCGACGTGTTAATTTTGGTGCGAGATGAAATAGCTTTGTCTATATGAAGTGACATATTGTGTAGCAAGAATGGTAATGTGGTATGTTTTTTGTATTATGAGTGACAATAGATTTGTGAAAAAATACAATCTACAGCTTAATATTGATAATGTGGTTGATGAATATAATAGTGGCGATAATTGTTGCAGGTATTGCAGGAAAATTAGCCAACTTGTAGCACTGCTTCATGTATAATTTATAAGTCAGCCGAATAGCATTCTGGTATACCCAAACGAAACACCCAAGTGAGCTTACTCACAAGGGCGTTGCCTTTAGAGGCGGTTGGCACTTCTGCGGGAAGTGCCTGAGAATCTACGGCACATGTAGAGGGAGGATCAGGATCGGGTGATTCTGGCCGTTTCATCTAATCTTGATGGACCCTCCCACACCTGACAGCCACCTGCCAGGCGCTCACATGCGGATTGGTTGCGCGTGGACCCAGGCACCAACTAAACGAGCAACTGTAGTTGGTGAAGGTTTGTCCTGGTGCATACAGGGAGGTTGCGTGTAATTTTTGCAGGTGGCGCAAAGTTTGCCTGCGCGAAACAGAAGAGGTGGGTTCGCGACCAGAAATTCATTCGCCGAAGACAAAAAGGGCGTGTCAGGTGTTTCCGCACAACGCCTCCATTTCGCGCGATTGTTCGCCGAGGCGCTGCTGTAATTTTTAGAGGAGACGACGCAGAACCCTGGGTTGGGTGGGGTGTACACCCGACCTGTACAGGTGGGGCGGGAACTGACTGACGTGTCTAGCATCACGACAAGTTCCAGCTGGCGAGTAGCTCCGTCCGTCAACCCGTCGCTAGTGAAAGCGACAACGACCCTTGCCAGCACAGAACGGCCTGGTTGGTTGACGGATGGCAATCGCGGCATTCGGTTCTGGACCAATGGGAACAAGACTCCTACCCTTGGTCGACCTTGCCCAGATCTCTCTTCGTGTGCGATTTCAGAACTATGCGGTGGGGTACGGTATATCATGTTTTTCACTGCATTGAGAACTACTCGCAACACTTTGGCTGGGTTCAGAACAATAATGTTAGGTCCCAATTCCCTACCCCCATCCCCTCCCTCACCCTTTTCCCAACCAACCAGCCAGGGGTTACTCTTCCTCGACTGGCCATTCTCTCATTCTGGAAAATTTCTCCCATTTTACTCTCTCAGATCGACAGTTTCCCTCTCAGCTTACTTAGTTTTTTGTGTTGGCCCGGTGATGTGTTCTATCCTTCGACGATCGATCTGTTAGTCTCCAGGTATGTGACTGGCCCGGGTGGAATTATTCATCTGTTTCTTGTATTTTCTCCATTCACAACCCTTTGAACGTTTTTTTGTGTTCTCTGTGTTTAAAATCCACAGAAACATTGCTTCATTTCGTATCACCTCTTTAGCGTGCTGGTTATTAATATCTACGTGTTTGGAAAATCGTAAATTATGTTCAGGTGCACCCTTTGACTGAACCGTCTATGCGTGTAGATAATTTCAAACTATTGTTTCGTGTCTGCAGGTTTGCTTTCGAAGAGATCCGCTGTTTTCCAAATATCTACTCGTACTCTTTTTGCCCGGTGAGGAAATGTTTGATGGTTGTAACACCTACGTGTTTGGAAAATCGTAAATTATGTTCAGGTGCACCCTTTGACTGAACCGTCTATGCGTGTAGATAATTTCAAACTATTGTTTCGTGTCTGCAGGTTTGCTTTCGAAGAGATCCGCTGTTTTCCAAATATCTACTCGTACTCTTTTTGCCCGGTGAGGAAATGTTTGATGGTTGTAACACCCAATCTGCAATCCAGTTTGAACGTTGTTTGTGTGGTTTTCTGTTTTGGGAACTTCTGTTTTATTCCACATTGTTCTGTGGTCTAAGACGATTCTGGCATGTTTTGTATGTGTTGTAGTGTGCTCCTGCAGGTGTGCAGAAGGTTGCTGAGAAGGGTCCCCTCTGCCAGGCCGCATCTGCATGTAGGGGCTGTAGTTAGAGTGACTGATAGCAGCTTGGAGTTGGTGTGCTGTACGAATCTTCTGAAATACAGAATTTGATTGAGAAAAAACCCTGCAAGGCTGCCGGTATCTTTTGCAGTATGGCGGATGACAACAGGCCATTCAAGTGTGACCTCTACCCCCAATGTGTAGCTACATTCTCGTATGCACATCAGAAAGCACGGCATATGAGGAAAGGACAGCACAAGAATAGGGTGGAAGAGGCAGCATCTGAAGGATTGCGTGATGATTCTAGCCAAGGGGGAGCAGTAGAAAGGTTACGAGCAGCTGCAAACCGTCTTCTTTCACGAGGCACCAAGCGCACACGCCCTGAAACGCAGCCAGGGCCGAGCCGCTTTGATGAGCAGCCTGACGCGGCTGAATTGAACGAGGACACCACAGGCTACGAGTTTGCCCCAGAGTGTGAAGCTACAGCGGTTGACATTGATGCTCGGGCGTACCGTTTCATTCGCACGGCAGCTGGAGGATCCGGCCTTTCACGCGTAGATATTACAGAATTGATACTAATCCTCGTCGAGGTTCTGCGCAACCCAGGCCGGCTAACGCTCAAGTCTCTGGCAGACTTCGACAGGTACGAAGAGGCGAAGTTGGCCGGGGCCAACATTGAACCGTTTGAGCAGGTGGAACTCACAAAGCCGGGAGATTTGAAACCCGTGATCTTGTGGCGGCGTTCGGCGCTCACGTGTGTCACCAGCTTGTACGAGAACGTGGCGAATGCGCATGGTTTCGTTGTGCGCCCTCCCAAGAACTTCAATCCGACGAAACGGATTTACAAGGGTCCTGAGACGGGGAGTTGGTGGCGGGAGGTACTGCGTAAACTACCAGGTACTGATCCAGGCAAGGCAGTCGCTGCAGTGATAATCTACTCGGACGAAACAACTCTCACGACTGATGGCGGACTCAAGGGTTGGCCCGTGTACATCTCGTTGGCCAACATTGCGCCGGGGAATCGATGGAAACCCCACGGGCATCGGTTATGCGCTCTCCTACCCGATGATGACGGGAGCTTCTTCACGCACGCGGACAAGGAGCGGCGGCACCTTGAAGTATTCCAGGAGGCCTTGGATCTTATCATGGCGGACTTGAAGATTGCCCAGAACACGTAAGATCCTCTCCCCCCCCCCCCCCCCCCCCCCCCTCCCCCCCCCTGTCTCTCTGCTATTGAAATGTTTGGTCTACGTATGTGAACTGTTGGATACTGTGCAAATGTGTTCATCGATTCTGTATTGTCGTGCATTCAGTGGCGTGGAGCTGACAGACCCATACGGCATTCGTCGTACGGTCTTTCCGCTCACGTACGCATACATTGGCGACTATCCGGAGCAGTGCAAAGTGGCGGGCACCAAGTCCAGCATCAAGACCCGTTTTCCATGCCCCAGGTGCACCGTTCCAAAGGAAGAGCTGAACAACATGGCGTACCCGCTGGTGTATCGAACGGAAGCATTACAAAAGGGGCGTGTCATGGAGATGGAACGCGAGACGAGGGTTACGGCACGCAACGACTTGACAAAGCGTTACAGTACACACTTCGTTAAGGTATTTTACATTTGTTGTTTGTCGAGTAGTCGTGCACTAATAATCATAACATGTTGATCTAGGGTTTAGCTAGATGCCCAAACTGATGTGGGTGCTTCTGTGTCTGTTTGTGCGTTTGTGTGTGTATATTTGTGTGTGTGTGTGTGCGCATGTGTGTGTATGTGTGAGTGTGTGTGTGTATGTGTATGTGTATGTATGTGTGTGTGTGTGTTTGTGGGTGTGTGTGGGTGTGTGTGTGTGTGGGTGTGTGGATGTGTGTGGGTGTCTGTGTGTGTGTGGATGTGTGTGTGGGTGTGTGTGGGTGTGTGTGGGTGTGGGTGTGTATGGGTGTGTGGGTGTGTGGTATGTGTGGGTGTGTGGATGAGTGTGTGGGTGTGTGTGGGTGTGGGTGTGGGTGTGTGTGGGTGTGCGTGGGTGTGTGTGGGTGTGTGTGTGTGTGGGTGTGTGTGGGTGTGCGTGGGTGTGTGGGTGTGTGGGTGTGTGGGTGTGTGGGTATGTGGATGTGTGTGTGGGTGTGTGTGGGTGTGTGTGGGTGTGGGTGTGGGTGTGTGTGGGTGTGCATAGGTGTGTGTGGGTGTGTGTGTGTGTGCGTGTGTGTGGGTGTGCGTGGGTGTGTGGGTGTGTGGGTGTATGTGTGTGGGTGTGTGGGTGTGTGTGGGTGTGTGGATGTGTGTGTGGGTGTGTGTGGGTGTGTGTAGGTGTGGGTGTATGTGGGTGTGTGTGGGTGTGGGTGTGGGTGTGTGTGGGTGTGCATGGGTGTGTGTGGGTGTGTGTGGGTGTGGGTGTGGGTGTGTGTGGGTGTGCGTGGGTATGTGTGGGTGTGTGTATGTGTGTGTGGGTGTGTGTGGGTGTGCGTGGGTGTGTGGGTGTGTGGGTGTATGTGTGTGGGTGTGTGGGTGTGTGTAGGTGTGTGGATGTGTGTGTGGGTGTGTGTGGGTGTGTCTGGATGTGGGTGTGGGTGTGTGTGGGTGTGTATGGGTGTGGGTGTGGGTGTGTGTGGGTGTGCGTGGGTGTGTGTGGATGTGTGTGGGTGTGGGTGTGGGTGTGTGTGGGTGTGCATGGGTATGTGTGGGTGTGTGTATGTGTGTGGGTGTGTATGGGTGTGCGTGGGTGTGTGGGTGTGTGGGTGTGTGTGTGTGGGTGTGTGGGTGTGTGTGGGTGTGTGGATGTGTGTGTGGGTGTGTATGGGTGTGTATGGGTGTGGGTGTGGGTATGTGTGGGTGTGTGTGGGTGTGGGTGTGGGTGTGTGTGGGTGTGCGTGGGTGTGTGTGGGTGTGTGTGGGTGTGGGTGTGGGTATGTGTGGGTGTGCGTGGGTGTGTGTGGGTGTGTGTGTGTGTGTGGGTGTGTGTGGGTGTGCATGGGTGTGTGGGTGTATGGGTGTATGTGTGTGGGTGTGTGGGTGCGTGTGGGTGTGTGTGTGTGTGCATGTGTACGCGTGTTTATGTGTGCGTGTGTGGATGTGTGTGTAGGTGTGTGTGGGTGTGCATGGATGTGTGGGTGTGTGTCGGTGTGTGTGTGTGTGTGGATGTGTGTGTGGGTGTGTGGGTGTGTGTATGGGTATGTGTGTGTATGTGTGTATGTTTATGTGGGTGTGTGTAGGTGTTTATGTGGGTGTGTGTGGGTGTATGTGTGGGTGTGTGTGTTTGTGTGTGGGTGTGTGTGGGTATGTTTGAGTGGGTGTGTGTGTATGTATGTGTGTGTGTGTATGTGTGTATGTGTGGGTTTGCGGGTGGGTGTGTATGTGCGTGCGTGCGTGTGCATCGCAGAGTGCTATATGGGGGCAACGCTTTGGCGACGAGGATTTCGGCAACCCGTACCGACAACTCACATCCGACATCATGCACATGTCTCTCCTCGGCGTATACAAGCACATCCTGGAGGGTCTCAAGTCGAAGCTGAATGACTCCACCCTGCGGGAGCTGGACGCTTCTCTCGAGCGGATCACCAAGTACAGCAGGCAGTCTTTCTTTCGGATTCCTGCACACACAGCTGGCTATTTCAGCGGCCACAACACCTTCAAGGCCTTCCACCATCAGGCGGTGATGCAGGTGCTGCCAGTGCTCCTGGTGATGGCGAAGGTTGACGCACGGATAGTTCGAGCTGTGGAGCTGTTCTGCACGTGGCACAGGGAGGCATGGCATCGCACGTACCACGCCGACGCCTCCTTGGCGAACCTTGACAACATGGCGAGCACGTGAGTACGATACACGATTGCTCGCATCCATATGCATGCCATAATATAATTGCGTCGTTTGTCCGTTGTATCATTCCTGATCGAACTTCTGCATCGCTATGTACCATGCCGTTGCGTTACGTGCAGGCTTGTTCCGATGCTGATGAATGAGTTCACGATGGATGATCAAGCATCGAACTTCAATGTCCCCAAGATTCACGCGATGCTTCACGTCAGTGACGACATCAGGCGTCGTGGCGTCCCGATTCACTACTGCACCGATGTCTACGAGCACGTGCACGTGGCCTTGATGAAGAGACCGTACAGAGCTTCTAACAAGAGGAACGCCGAAGCAACTATCACACGGCGTTGCCTGGCATCAGAGCTGGTCGAGTGGATGACTGCGGCCGATGATGTTCCCGATGCGCACGCTCGATCAGCCGCCCTTCAGCAGGTGTGTTATTATTTTTCCTTGCAAGATATAGATGTATTAGCGATCATCCTATCTCTTACTAAATGCTATGCTGACAAGTGTTGCAGTCCCTCTAGCTGCATGTTTTTCTTAATTGCGTTTCCCGCTTTCTCATTATGTTCTGTATTGTTTTTTGCCGGATGTGTAAACCTACATGCTTAAAACTACTGCAGGCCATAGAGACGGGAGTTGCTACTGTCACCGGGACGACTGCAAGGTTTGTCTTGGGTGACGAGCGTGACAAGACCTTCAGGGCATACTTGCGGAGCGTCCCAGGAGACTCTAACCTTCTAGAGGACAGTATTGTGTCATACCTCACGGAAGAGCATGGCGCCAACGCGGTACACTATGCTCGGATGATAGAGGTGCATTCAGGTGTTGCGGTACCACCCGACAACAGGTATCCACAGTATGCACGAGCGTCTCCGGCATTCCATGGTGGCCCTTGGTTTTCGGATGTGGATATTGAGGGAGAGGATGTCGAGAAAAAGAAGGTGGTGTGGCATGCGAAGCTTTTCCTTATTTTTACACTGAGATGGACTGTGTGTATTGCTGGCGCCGGGGACGAGGAAGATAGGGAGGAGCAGTGTTCGGAGCAGCTTGCATTTTGTCGCTATTACGGATCGCTCCCACAGTCAGAGACGATGGACATGAAGACCTTGAACTGGTGGCCTTCTCGCCGCGGGTATGGGGTGTTGCCAGTTGAGAGCATCTTGCGAGTGCGTCACGTCGTCCCCAAAACTGTTGACCCTTCACATCCGATGGCAACGTTTGTGCTAAACCACTTTAGATGGTAGAAGATGATATTGTAAATATTTGATTGTATGTGTGTATATAATGTTGTGACATTTAATGACATAGCAAATATAATGAAAAGGTTTTGTTGGAGAGAAAATTGCTCAAATTAAATATAAAACGTTAAAATAGCGTCTTAGTTTCACTGGTTTAAAATGTCTTGGATTTCATCTGATCTGGTACATATAACGTGAATAAATTAGGTAATGTTTTAATATTATACTGAACGTTGTGTGTTCTCGACACACTCCTGTGTCAACAGCGGGTAAGAACTGTCAGAATCCCAACCACTAGACCATTGTGATAAAAGGGCTTGTTTCAGTAGCGGGTCAGTGCGCCCACATCACAAAAACCCTATGCCAAGTTTGGACGAATTTTGATTTCGATTGTCTTCGCGTAAAACAATCCGGAGCCAATTTGGACCGACGGTTGGAGTCATTTGATAGGAGCTCCGAGACACATCTCGCGACAAGGTTTGGCTCGGTTCAAGTTCCAATTTGGCACGCGAGCTTTTCCGGATGACATTCGGGCGCAATCTGTTTTGTTGCAAATTCGTGACCAAATTATTCAAAACTAAATTCTGTTTTTGTTCATTTTGGATATTGAGGATTTCAAAATTGCATTTATTATTGCGGTTTACAAGAACCATTATTCAGCATTCTAGCAACAAGCAGTCTTAGCACCAGGTCAAATAGCCTACGCACTGGCGGGCCTTGAAAGCGCCCGGTGGGCAAGGACGACATCTCCAAGGTCGCCGTCGTCGATGAGGAACTTGTTCGGAAAGACGAACGCACCCATAGCCGGATCGTGGGGGATCCTCCGCTCCACGACAGCAAAATGGATCATCTGTTTGACCTTTTTGCACCACTCCTGGTAGTCTGGCCTGTTCTGCTCCGGCTGGCTACTGATTCGCTTGCGACGCTTATCCTGCAGAAGGGGCCATTCGATCTGCAATGTGGTGTAGGGTTGGGTGGATGGTTTATGAGGAGGGTAGGTTACGGGTAAATGAGGCAACTGAAAGCGGTGATGCAGTCGTCACTATCTACGTAACTGCAAAGGCCTAATCGACCAGGGTTTTAGCTGAAGTACAGGCAAGGGGTTAAGGGGATGAGGCATGGGGGTACAAACACATATCTACATCCTTACCGAAAACAGGCCCCATGCCACCATGCGGCTCTTGAACTTGGTGAACACCGCCCCGCCCCTCTTGAAGGAGAGCTTGAACGCATAAGCGAACAAGGGGTTGCTGAAGGGTGTCCCGGTGGCCTTGTCAAAGTGCCAGTTGAGGGCCCACTGTTCTGCTTATTGGCAGGGAGGGTATGGGTTGGAAAGGGTTTTGTAGAGAAATCAAATGGGGGGATGAGAGTCAGGGTGAGCCACATCGCACGATGATATGTAGCTGCCAAGGGGCATATGGTAGGGCATATTGTGTTTTCGAGTTGCACTGCACATACCATCTCTGTACTTGGCTAGGAGTTGATCGTCGTTGAACCAGGTCGTTGGGTGTAGCTCAGTGGGCAGGCTATCCACGAGATGGCTGTAATCGGCAAGGCCCATGCCGGTGTATGCTGCTGGCCTGAGGGTGGAGTTGATAGTTGACCTTGTTGAGGACAGCTGGTGGTTGAAGACTCCCATGGTTGACTTGTCATTGTGCAACCACAGCAGCTTCATTGCCTCGAGCCCTTCTGCAGACAATTGGACAGAGAACGCTTCGAACACTTCCTCCGGTGCAGGGTAGTACTGTATTTTCTCCGGCGGGTTCAGAAACATGAGCTGAGAGCACACTAAGTAGGCTTTGTTCTGCGCAGGGGTGTAAGGTATACAACACGACATGGAAGAGAGAAACCAGCAGTTATGAGGGTGGCCGCGTGACCATGGGATGGTGACTAGCAACACTGTTTGAACTTGCCACGTCACACCCTGCGCCATCCGACACGTCCACCAACAACCCGGCCCACTTGCCACGTCACACCCCCCTACCACAAGCCACGTCACCCCCCACCCACCTGACACGCCTCGCTTCGTCATGCGCAGTGGTCACATGTACCATTTCTAACCGCCACGTCATCCCCAACCCTCACCTTCCGCCACGTCACACCCACCTGCATCCGCCACGTCATCCCCAACCCTCACCTTCCGCCACGTCACACCCTCCTTGTCCGCCACGTCCACCAACCAGCCCCACGTGCCACGTCACACCCTCCTGCATCCGCCACGTCCACCAACAACCAGGCCCACGTGCCACGTCACACCCTCCCACCCCATGCCACGTCACCCCCCACCCACCTGACACGCGTCGCCTCGTCACGCGCCGCTCCCGTGTACCATTCCAAACCGCCACGTCAGCCCCAACCCTCACATTCTGCCACGTCACACCCTTTTGCATCCGCCAACAACCCGCCCTACTTGCCACGTCACACCCCCCACCAAGAGCCACGTCACCCTCCACCCACCTGAGACGCCTCGCTTCGTCATGCGCCGCTCACGTGTACCCTTTTAGGGTGCCACGTCATCCCCAACCCTCACCTTCCGCCACGTCACACCCACCTGCATCTGTCACGTCATCCCCCACCCTCACCTTCCGCCACGTCACACCCTCCTGCATCCGCCACGTCCACCAACCAGCCCCACGTGCCACGTCACACCCTCCTTGTCCGCCACGTCCACCAACCAGCCCCACGTGCCACGTCACACCCTCCTGCATCCGCCACGTCCACCAACAACCAGCCCCACGTGCCACGTCACACCCTCCCACCCCATGCCACGTCACCCCCCACCCACCTGATACGTGTCGCCTCGTCACGCGCCGCTCCCGTGTTCCCTTCGAAACCGCCACGTCAGCCCCAACCCCGCCCTTGTTGCCACGTCAACCCCAACCCTCCCCATGTGGCCCGCCACATACCGGGAATGGGTTTGTCTCCTGCAACACTAGCACTCGTGCCTTGTCCACGGCGCTCATCGGCGGCGGGGTACCAGCCATAGGCAGGGCTGCCGACCCGCCGGCATAGCTGGCAGGTACTCCACGACGCAGGCCGAGCTGTGCAAACATGGCGTACATCTCAGACCGCAGCGCCTGGAACTCCTCCCGTGTAACAAACTGCTCGTGCTCCGCACTTTCACGTAGGGCACCCATGAGCGGAGGAAAAGGGTTTGAAGAATCCCCCCTCTGGCCAAGGGGATCAACGTCTTCTGCAGCAGTCCCGTGTGCCCTCACACTATCACGCTGGCAGGAAAAGGGGAGCTCAGGGAAGGGATTGGCATAACTGCCTACCTGATGCCCGCGCGAAGGATCGGCGAGAGGGGAGACCGCCCTGCCCCGGACAGGAGAAGCGTGGAGTTGCCGAAATTGGTACGAGGGTGAGGCGAGTGGGGACTGCGTGACGGGGGCGGGTGGAGGGGATTCGGATTCCTCTCCTCTTGGCGCGCCTGGTGCCGTCGCAGCGACTTTGCTCGGGCCGGCCCATGGCGTGTAGTACCTTGGTGCTCCGGAGGAGAGCGGTGTAACACTCGCTCTTCCGGCAGCCTTCGTTAGATGCATTCGTTGCACGCTTACGGGCGGCCCAATGCCTGTAACGCGAGGGGCTGAGATGTAGAGGGAGCCGGAAATTTTTTTTAGAGTCGATCGGTTTCAAGGCGGGGCCAGACATGCATGCATATTCAGAAAGGTTTGAATCTAGATCGGGTTCAGGGTTGTACTGGTTTGAGACAAGAGGGTTTACCTTGCTTGGCAGATTCGTCGACCTTCTCCTTCCCTGCATGGGAGAAACAATGTGAAAAAAGGGTGTTTTTTGGCACGGTTTAGCAGATGGTTCAACACGTCATGCCAGTTTTATTGGACACAATGCTCACCTTTCTGCTGTCCCTTCGGTTTTGGGGCAGCCTGCGCCTTCTCGTTGCCACCTTTCCGCGGGGTGCTTTGGCGGACGCTGCGACGTTTACCGGCAGGTTCTTTCTTGCTGGTACCCACTGGAACCCCTTTGGCGCGGCCACCCTTTCCTCCTCCATCCCCTTTTGCTCCCTGGCTCCCTTGCTTTTTACCAACCCCTTCACTTTCGACCTTCACCTTACGCGCCTTCGGTTTGCCCGATGCTTCGCCGCGCGCAGCGTCAACTGCCCCGCGTTTTCGGGAAGGGCGAGTCCGGCCCCCCTCCTTCCCTGTACCACTCACCCGTCTGCCACGCCCGCCCCGTCCCTTCACTGGCGCCACATCCTCCTCCTCCTCCTCCTCCTCCTCCTCCTCCTCCTCCTCCTCCTCCTCCTCCTCCTCCTCCTCCGCTGCCTCATCCTCCTCCTCCTCCTCCACATCCTCCTCCTCGTCGTCACCCTGCTCCTCCTCCTCCTCCTCCTCCTCCTCCTCCTCCTCCTCCTCCTCCTCCTCCTCCTCCTCCTCCTCCTCCTCCTCCTCCTCCTCTGCCTCCTCCTCCTCCTCCTCCTCCTCCTCCTCCTCCTCCTCCTCCTCCTCCTCCTCCTCCTCTGCCTCCTCCTCCTCCTCCTCCTCCTCCTCCTCCTCCTCCTCCTCCTCCTCCTCCTCCTCCTCCTCCTCCTCCTCATCCTCCTCCTCCTCCTCCTCCTCCTCCTCCTCCTCCTCCTCCTCCTCCTCCTCCTCCTCTTCGTCCTCCTCGCCATCATTCTCATCTTTTTCATCCTCCCCAACATCCGCGTCATCCTCCTCCGCTTCCTCTTCATCCTCCTCTCCCTCCGCATCCTCCTCCTCATCCTCCTCCTCCTCCGCATCACCGGGGTCTTCATCGCCCCGTTTCGGCTTTGTTCCCGTCGCTGCTTTCTTGCCTCTCCTTCCGCCGGATGCTTTTCTTGCTGCGGGTCGGCCCTTCTGGCGCAATGCTTGACCGCCCGCCTTGCCACTAGCTTCCTTGGCGCCTCGCGGTGTCCCAACTGCCGCGCCTCCGGCGTCGTCAGCACTACCTGTCGTCTGCCGCCTCTTTGCCCGCGTAATGAGGTCCCTGGGCACGGCGGTGTCATAATCGTCCTCCCCATCGCTCTTCCTCTGCCTACGCCTCCCCCGTCCACCAGAAGGTGGAGAGCCACCGACCAGCCCCACCGACTCGTGCTCCCCCACCTTGTCCTTATCCAGCACGGCTGCAGAAACTTCGACCACGGTCGGCTGGAGCAGCGTCAGATGGTGTTGCGTTGCCGCCGCCTCGGACTCCTTGGTTGCGGCATGCTCGGCGCGGGGATCGCCTCCGTGATTTCCCTCCGTCGCCGATCCCTCCATCTCTGCCGACGGGAGTGCAAGACTCGCGCTCCCTCGCCCCGGATCTTCGTTGCCGCCAGTGGTGCCGTCTTTACTCGGACCGGGCTCGGTTCCAGCAAAGGCAACATCCGCATCTTTGTTCACTGTAGAAACACGCTTGCGTGGCGTTGGTTTAGGCCCCTTGTCTTCCGCTTTCTTGCCGGCCTCCTGTTGACCGCGCGCGACCTTTTTTGCCGCCGCTTTTTTCTGCCCAATGCCACGAGCGACGGACGCATTAGTTTTTTTAGCGCCGCCACCACACTCCCTATCGATCTGTTTAGACGTCCTCCTTGTCGCGCGGCGGCCGGCCTGTTCCTCCTCCATTGCTTGGTTACGTGTTGCACGTGTCATGGTAATTGTAGGAGGAGCAAAGTTGCAAATCGCGCGGAAGGGTTGAGCCGGTTTCGAAAGGGTTCTGCAACTGAATCCCACGATGGGATTATCGACGGTCTATCACTGTTATGTGTTTCCGAAAACCGCCGCTTCAACTAAATCTGTCATAGTAGCCACTATGCTTCGCGCTAAGGCCGATCTGGAGAGGCGTGTGTCAAGGCAACGAGCAGCGTCAAAGTGTTGGTCCAGGGAGTGACGGAAGCAGGTGGCAATCGTTTGAGATGCGTCGGCCAATCACGGTTGCCAACGCATAAATCACTAAATTTTATTCAAACATACAACAATGCATTTCATCAAACTCTAAGTTGCAAATGGTTTACCACAGGGTTGGGGTAAGTTAATCGGTGATTCTTACGTCACACGCACAACGACCGTCCAAAATTATTACTTGTGACAGATGTACTGTGCACTTTTAGGCTTTGCCACAATGGTTTAGGGCTAGCGGACGACATTCTAACACGATTATCAATAGTAACAAACATGAATCCGTTGTGGTATGGTGTTGGATTGTCATCCATTCTTGCACAGACATTAAACAAGGTGCTTAGAAGGAGTGGTATGAAGCACAGGCCCAACGCACAAGCGTAGATGCGTTATCGACAGCCATGGTTAGACTGTGCGACGATGCAGCGTTCAGGCATGCGGGTTGCGCGACATGGTGAATCCGTTGTGGTATGGTGTTGCATTGGCATCCATTCTTGCACAGACATTAAACAAGGTGCTTAGAAGGAGTGGTATGAAGCACAGGCCCAACGCACAAGCGTAGATGCGTTATCGACAGCCATGGTTAGACTGTGCGACGATGCAGCGTTCAGGTCTGCGGGTTGCGCGACATGGTGAATCCGTTGTGGTATGGTGTTGCATTGGCATCCATTCTTGCACAGACATTAAACAAGGTGCTTAGAAGGAGTGGTATGAAGCACAGGCCCAACGCACAAGCGTAGATGCGTTATCGACAGCCATGGTTAGACTGTGCGACGATGCAGCGTTCAGGCCTGCGGGTTGCGCGACATGGTGAATCCGTTGTGGTATGGTGTTGCATTGGCATCCATTCTTGCACAGACATTAAACAAGGTGCTTAGAAGGAGTGGTATGAAGCACAGGCCTAACGCACAAGCGTAGATGCGTTATCGACAGCCATGGTTAGACTGTGCGACGATGCAGCTTTCAGGCCTGCGGGTTGCGCGACATGGTGAATCCGTTGTGGTATGGTGTTGCATTGTCATCCAACATTGCATGGACATTGAAACCGTTGTGTTATTGTACGACATTGTCATCCATTCTTGCATATTCATTCAGCACGGTGCGTAGAGGTACACTACACCTCGAGAGAAGACACGCTATAGGTATTCGCTCCACGCAACAATCATACGTTAGGGCATGGAGTTATTGGGTACTTCCCGTATCGTTATCAAGTAAGGGTTGTTCAACATCAGTCCTAAGGATATGAATGTTTACTAGTTATGAATGACTTGAGTGTCTTGTTAAGTTGTAATTGTACATTTGCATTTCCATGTTTGTTTGAAGCCTCTTGAGCTCACCTACGTGATTCTGATTTCCCCCCTATATCGATTCGCGACACAATCACAGATCCAAACGGATCTCTTCCCGCTCTTCCTCATCCCCCTCGACTCTCACGCACGGTTCCTAAACACAAGTTCTTGATTCAATAGGCACGTCCTTCTCACCGTGCTCGCGACGCACACACACGACCGTGAGACTTAAGATCCTCCCCATTCTCCTCTGCTCACGTCGTGGTCACTCTAAACGGGGGCGACACGCCTTGTAGTGAAGACGGCCCGTGAGGTGGGCGCTCTGTATCGTGCCTGGTAACGACCACGCGGCTCGACATCGTTAGCCAGTCATAAACATTAGCGCCAAGGTCAAGTGCCAGTCGTGCAGTGATACAAGCCGCCCACCACAGTGCGCGCATTGGCGATGATCGTGTAGCTGTCACAGGCTTCTTGAACGGAGTACTTAATGCGTTCACAAGCTTCATCACGGCTAGTAGCTTCATAGGCGATTTCTCGACTCTACAACGGATCCGTAACACATGGGCTCTTTACCAGGCGTCGTCTGCGAGTTCTGCAACAGATGGTTCCCCAACGCCCAAGTTTATGGCGGTCATAAGTCACGGCGGACCCCTTGCCAAGGACTATCCGCCGTGGCAAGGCCGACGCGATCTGCACCGACCGCCGGTCTTCACGCTCTGCTATTCGTCCACGACATTCTGTCGGACGCTCCAGCCGCTCCCGGTTCACCTACAGCGTCTAACGCATCCAACGCCGTCAGTGTGAGCGGTCCTCCACGCGTGCCTGAAGCTCACGTTGACGAAACTCCCAACGACGTGAACGAGGGGCCTCCTGAAGATGAACATCAACCACAACCAGGAGCTCCTGCGGCTGACACGAGTGACCATCCTGAGAGCCGGCCCGAAGGGAGTCATGCCGCGCCGCCAACAATCATCTCCGGACAGAGCAATGCCACGCCCCTCAATCCGCTCGCGTTGAAGCTGCTGCATTTCGTTCGGCGCGTGAATGGCGGAATGGGAATGGCCGAGGTTGACATCAACGGCCTGCTTCAGCTAGTCGTAGAGCCCGGCCTTGCGCCTCTTGTGATCTCGGAGCTCCGGAACTGTAAGGATCTGGAGCGGTTCGAGATGGAGCGTTTGGCAGGGCTCAATCGCGGATGGTCGGTGGCGACCTTCGAGATTGACGGTCATCCACCACAGCGCTTGCTCTTTCAGAACTCAGCCCAGGTAAGCCGACTTTGCATTCAAGGCCGTGAAATGATGATGAGGCACACAGGGTTTGCATGTACGTAGTTATCCTTGTATTAACCGTACACCCACCTTCACCGCCACTAACCATGCCTCTCCTCTCACCTGCCTTCGCCACCGTACACCAGGCATTCGCTGAAATGTTTGGACATCCCAACAACGCGCCCGGCTTCAAGCTCAAGGCGCGTGTTGATGAGGACCCTGACGCAGGCAGCCGTCGCTATACCACGCCTGAAACAGGAACGTGGTGGAACGATGCTCAGGTAAGGAAAGACCACGTTGCCACCCCAAACCCAATCCTTCCTCATGCCTCCATCGCTGCACTGATCTGTCAAGAGCATCTTGAGCCCTAAACCGTGTGTCCGTTGCCGCTTTGTCGTGCACTGCAGGAACACTTCGGTTGGTCCGAAGTTGTGGGGGGGATCATCTTATATTCGGATGTGACGCACATGAGCATCAACGGCCGGAAGAAGGCGTGGCCGCTCATGATGACGCTGGCCAACATCTCCCAGGCCAAGCGATGGGGGAAAGCCGGGCACACACTACTTGCCCTCCTTCCTATCCCCCCGTCTGCAATGTCTGCCGTGGAGAAGGTGATGCTCTTCCAGCGTTGCGTCATCACCGTGCTGCAGCCGCTTCTTGATGGCATTGCCAGGTCCGTACTCGGTTTGCATCTTGCTAAGACATCATCTCACCACCTGCATGGTATGCAAACCCTCTCTGTATGTAGCATGGCCCTTTGCCCCTCGTCGTTCCTCCCTAAAAGCCGTAACCCGAATTCCTGTTGCCCCTCTACCTGTTCCTTGCAGCGGGTTCCGTCTCAGGGACCCTTTCGGTGATTGGCAAACCGTGCGGCCCCTGCTGTACGCCTGGGTGTGCGACTACCCCGAGAGCGGCAAGATCAGTTGCACACTCTCGCATGGATCGCGGATGCCGTGCAGCATCTGCTATGCTGCAAAGGTGAGGTCACATGCCATCTGCACGCATTCAAATATATTCTCGTTTGTGGGTCGCCTGATAGAACCCACATAGCTACCACCCTTACCTTTTCTATCCCATCCCTCACCCCCGTGCTACAACAGGAGCATCTGAGTGCTGTCAAGGCACGGAACACGCCGCGCACGCCTGAACAGCAGCAATGGATCGTTAACGAGGCGGCTGGGACGACAACTAGCCAGGCTGACCCGTGCAAGGCCTACTCTACCTACCCTGTTGAGGTGAGTGACCTGTTTCCCCGGCCCATGAGTAGTCTATGCTCTCGCCCGCCCCGTCATGAATTGCCAGATGTGCTCTGCCCCATTGAACTCACCCCACTTGTGGTTTAGGTTAGCTATCCACTCTCACGTACATCTCTCCTCCATTCCCCACCACATCCCCATTTCCAGTGCGTGCTCTGGAAGTGGGATGTCCCAGGGACCGCGTGGGGCAATCCCTACCTCGTGGTGATGCCTGACATCATGCACCAGGCGGACCTGGGCATCATGAGCCACATTGTGGCTGTCGTGCGCAAGATGAAGAAGCGGCGTGTGAAGCAGATGGACAGGTCAGTGTTTTGGGGATTGGATTCGTTGCTCTTCGTCACATTTACTCAAACCATAAGTTCTGTCCTATTACTGACATGTTTCTGCCCTTTTGCCACCGCTGAACTGATGTGTATGGGCAGGCGCCTGTCTCTCATTCGCGACCGCACGCGCCTGAATCACATGCGCCTGCCGGAGAGCGCCTACTTCGAGACCGGAGCATGTGTGGCGGCCTATGAGCACAGGGCCGTCATGCAGGTATGAACCCTCCATTCCCTGTTGCTTGTCCTGGCCTAAACCCTCAAGCAGTCTGCTCATGCTGCCATTGTTTGTCCCAACTCCTCACACCATCTGTGCTCACCCTCCCCTTTGCTGCTATCCACATTCTTTGCAGGTCATGGTGTTTGTTTTTGCAGGCCTGCTTCGCCAGCCCCAGATGGATGCCGTTCGTGCCTATCTTGGCTGGTACATCCTGTGCTCCCAGCCTCAGGGGCACACTGAGCGGTCCCTCCGGGAGCTGAAGAAGATGACCTCTCGGTAATAATACCACGCATGTAAACCCCCGTGCATGGGATGAATGCTTGGCTACTGTAAATGTGCTCTTGTAGTAGGCAATCTTGTGAGGATGTTTGGTGCTAAACTTTGATAGGAAAGGATCAGGAATAGGAAAACCAAATGAATAAGTAGACTCTGTGATTGCATGTGTTGTCATGTCCCACTCCCATCAGGCTCGTTGAGCAGTTGCAGGCTGCGTTTCCAAAGCAGCCATCCTCTTGGTGCCTTGTGAAAACACATCTCATGTCGCACTACGTTGACTCCATACGTCGCGCGGGTCATGTGACCGAATTCAGCACCAACATGTTCGAGCACTTGCACGGACCGTTGGTAAAGAGGATCTACCGTCGGTCCAACAAGCGCAATGTAGATGGGCAGATCATGAAGTTCCATGCTAGGCGCATTCCGGATGTGGTGCCGGTGGATGATCCTGCTGGCCGGGACACCGCCATGCGGCAGGTAAATCTGTTTAGTGCTTGAATTGCATGGATATGAATGCAGAATGTAATAATATCAATAGCATATGTTGGCAGGCGATTGAGACCGACACACGGACGCTCATCAAGGAGTCATACTTCCTCCCTGTGGAGTTACCACAAGAACCCACCTCCACCAACTGGTTTGCAAGGAAGTGGGCCAAGCAACACCCTCGTGCCCAAGCTGCCCTCAAGGATGCGCTTATGCGTTATGCAGGATGCGTCACTAAGATTCGAGTAAGTAGTTGCAAGTTTATGCAATCAACCATCATTTGGCTGGCTCGTATCATCATGACTAACATCAACTGTTATGCAGGCCCATGCATCGCTGGCAATCCCTGCAGCAGACGACGCCAGCTTCTCAAGAGTTTCTCACTTCGTTCGAGCAACCCCTGACTATTTTGAGAGGCCATGGTACTCGGATGTTGCAGTGGAGGGTGTAAGGTATGGTCGGAGAGAGGAGTGGTATGCAAGGTTGCTTCTGTTGTTCCATACAAAAATACGTGGAGAGAGGGAGGAGCTGGCTTACGTTAGATATTGGAATGCAAGCGGAGAGGATACAGCAACAGGATGTCTTCGCCTCAAGTGGACGACAGGAATGTACGCGTACTCCGTGATTCCGATTGAAGCGCTGCTCCGCCACGTCCATGTGGTGAAGGCATTCCACCTGGACAGTACCTATCTCCTTAATAAGTATCAAATGTGATGCATTTATCTTGTAATAAAATGGCCAGCATATTTTCAAGCAGACACATTTTAGGGAAGTCAAAGCTTAAAAAACCAATTACAAAATCACAACAAATTTGGCACGCTTCAAATAAACGGCAATGTACCGGAGTCGCGGATTCGATCTAGACTTCGACAAACAAACGCGGTCCGATTTCATTCCGTGATTGGTCGCGATTTGGCTTCGGAACTTCGCCAACCAAAACACCTGAACTGTACCCCCCTTCGAACCCCCTTCAAAAACCAAGGTTTTTTGTGATGCATAACCCCCCAGGCGAACGCGCCTGTAACCCTCTCCAGGATCAATCGGGCATCCACAGTGCAGATCTACTGACACCCCCCCATACTGGGAGGCCCAGGACTAAGCACAGCGGCAACGGCCTACATGTGCATACACCGGGAATCGAACCCGAGACCGCTCTGATACCATGTCAGAATCCCAACCACTAGACCATTGGGATAAAAGGGCTTGTTTCAGTAGCGGGTCAGTGCGCCCATAACCCCCCAGGCGAATGCGCCTGTAACCCTCTCCAGGATCAATCGGGCATCCACAGTGCAGATCTACTGACAACACGCCACATTTGCTGTGACTACCCAGTACGACCACGATGAAATTAGAATTCACCGAGCTCAATCGTAACGAATTTCAATTTCGCCGCAAGCAAGTTATCGAGCACACTTGACCGCGTGCTGCCTCTCCGTGATTCGTCCCTTGCGTGCGCATTGATTTCATGCTTTCGAATGGGCCACTCGCCCATGGTGTCGTTTGTCGTTATTCGCAACACGTTGACTCGCGTTGGGCGGATGTTTCCGCCAACAATGCAGAGTCAGAATGGAACGCTGTACATGCTCGCGTGACGTTTACTATTCATGAGCCGAATATGTTTTCCTGAGCTGTAAGTGAACAACCCCCACTCCCCCCCCCCCCCTCCCCACCCCATCCCCTCCCCCACCCCATCCCGAAAATACCACGCATTACTTTTGCCCTTTTCGTAAGTACATTGGTAACGAGATGGGGCGATGGTGCTAGCGTTTTAAACCGTTTAGTGACCAGGTGGATATTTGCTGCCCAAAAAATTGACGTAGTTGTCGACTTCGCTGGCCAGTTGCACACTTACATGATGCTTGGGTGGCAAAAGATGTACACAGGGAAATTGTGGGGCTGTTTCGCCGCACATGACATCGTCTCGCCAGCCACATTTAGGTTCCAGCGTTACAATATTCAGCCAATAAAAAAGCCTACTATAATGCGTGCCAGCACATTGCGTGCCACCCAGGAAAAGCTCTTCACCTTCGAGAAAGGACAAACGTGTACATCGGTGCATAAGGACTGCCAGCGCACCAGATTTGCTGCTGTTCATGAACGCGAACGCCAGCGCACCTGAAGGCACTACCCACTTCATCCCACGAGCAGCAACTCACATTCTCTGAAACCCCACCCCATCCCCTTCTCTCCCCCGTTTCCCTCCCTTGTTGGCAGGGGAAAGAGGCAACTGCTCTGTCCGCGTGTCTCTGTTTAGGAATTCAAAGTTTTAAATTTCAAACTTTGTTTTAACCTTGCTCGAGGCCCGACTTCTTTCTCATTCGCTCATCCCGCGACCCGTGCCGAGCCTCCATGCGAGGCGACTTTGGTCCCACGTCTGGTAATGTCCAGTGACAGCCAATCATGGTGCGTTTCGTGAACCCTCCTTTAGTAGTCCATTCGCCTACAATTTAACCCGCTTTTTTGTCACATGGACGACTTCATATAAATAGCTGTGTCTGCATCTTGCTGGCTATTCGCTGGAACTCGGTTACTTTGTTTAATAACCCGTTTAGTCATGGCACGCGGTAATGCTCGAGACCTTGTCCCTGAATCTTTGCGCTCCCTGCAGACTAGAAAGCTCCCGGCACGGAAGAGCAAGGACAATCATAAGTACATTGGTGGCGCTGCTACCGCATGTATTTGCACGCTGGATTTGTTTTGCGTTTTTTTTTATTTTTTTTGCTTGCACGAATGAAGTCGAACACGACTAACCACCGTTCATTGTTTCTCGCAGATGAAAGCCACGATGAATCGTCCGACGAGCAAGCGCAGGGCTGCCATCGCACCGGCCAACGGACCAAACATGCAAGGCGGAGCCTCGATGACGTCAACAAAGATGACGTCGCTGGGAAAACCGTCCCTGCACCGGCAACTGGAGTGAAGTCCGTGGCTGGCGGTGGTCCCGTCGATGCTGCTGCCAGTGGTCCCTTCCCTGCTACTGCCGGATCTTCCCCTGCTGCCGCTGCAGCCGGGTCTTCCCCTGCTGCCGCTGCTGCCGGATCTTCCCCAGCTGCTGCTGCTGCCGGATCTTCCCCTGTCGCCGCTGCTGTCGGATCTTCCCCTGCCGCAGCTGCTGCCGGACCTTCCCGTTCTGCTATTCCTGACGGTGGTTCCCCTCCTACTGATGTGGCTCCCGATGCTGTTGTTCCCGCCGGGACACCTTCTGCTGTTGAAGGTATGCCTGCTATACCTTTCTCAAAATGGTGTCTCAGAGTTGCCATCAACAACCTGCTTTCAACCTGTTGAATTCATATCTAACGTGCCGCTTTGTAAAACTTTCCCCCACCACAGGAAACCCCAACCGCAGCCCAATGGAGTTGCTTATGACCCGAGCGACGGGGCGTGCGTATGCAACTGATGCCGCTCGCTTCGACGAGGAAGCGCGCGCCGAACCTGATGTGAATGAGGAGCTTCGAACTAAGGCAGAAGCTCAGAAGGCGATCGCCGGAGTTTATCAGAAAGAGAATGGTCGCCTCGCCGAAGACCTGAAAAGCGCGCTGGTGGTTATAACGCATCTTGCTAAGAAGACAACGCAAGTGGACCAGTCGACTCTCGACTGGAAGGTACGGGTTTGCATTTCATTGCCTATCGTAACCCAGTTACATTCGTCCTGACTCTCTATCATCGTCTTGCAGAAGTAAACGAAGGACGCCTGTGATGAATTCCTGTTCAAGAAAGCGTTTCTCAACCTCAATCCTGTTGTTCAGGATCCATCACTTTGAGAACTTACGACGAACTCAATACTCAACTAAACGCAAATCCGCGCAGTAAGAAGTTGCGCCTTAGGCTTAGCTACCATCTCCAAGTTGAATCAGTTGTTAAGATGGTCTAGATAGTGAGAACCAAGTAAAAACGTCCAGCAGCCGCATGACTAGAATGGTAGAGGAAGTACAAGCATGTAGGCATAGAAAGTTGGAGTTGGGGACTCCAAGAGAACCATGAGAGGGAAAGGGTTCTCCAAAAGCTAGAGAAGGATGGTAGGAACCTTCCTAGCAGCAAGGATGCCACCATCATCATGCGGTCCTTGAGGTGTCACATGCAAAATCAAATCTAGTTGGATTTTGCCTAGGTGTTGCAACATTTGCAACCCATGCTAGAAACTTCTAGCCACCCCAATCCAAAAGTCAAAGTTGCCTTCCTTAACCACCCAACCAAAGATCCCTTTATATTCATGTCCCAAGTAATCACCCAAATTAGATATAACCCCAAAAGTTAATAAGAAATCCAAATCTTGGAAATCTTGTAACTTGGGCGATCTTGGTCAGAATAAGGCGATCTTGGTATCGTTGGAAAGCTCTGGATTTCTCCTGCATGATCAAGCATTTAGACTTGGAGAAAAACACAGAGATGATAATATCCAACAGCCATGAACAATGACATATGCTCATGCAAACAATGCATGCATGGATAGCACGAGCACTCGGCAGGATGTTAGGATGACATGCACTCAGAATGACGTGCATCCAACAAACTCCCCCTCAGACTAACGGACTGCATGCACACACACTCACACAAATGTAAACTCTCATGCACACAATCACACGTGCACTCATGACACTGCTGCCCACACTAGTGCAATGCCATGCCACACATCTTAGCACACTTCCAATGTGCGCTCTCGGGAAGTCTCTTGGTGAGAAAATCTGCCGCCTGCTTGTTAGCCTTCACATGGTGAAGCTCAACAGCTCCCTCCTTCACCATCTGCCTCACCCAGTGCCACTTAATCTTCATGTGCTTGTTCAGCTCATTCATGATAGGATTATTGGCCATGCCAATAGCAGCCTCGCTGTCGGAGAAAAGTGGCGTAGGTCCCTGCTGTTCAGCTCCCATGTCCTCCAGCAGCTTCCTCAGGAGCACAATATCCTTGATGGCATGGTACATCGCCATGTACTCTGCCTCTCCGGAAGACTGAGCAATCTCACTCTGCTTCTTGGACCTCCAGCTCACTGGTCCACCTCCGACCATGCACACAAAGCCGCCAACCGATGATTGATCCTCATCCTCTGAGGCCCATGTGGCATCGGTGAAGCACGACATCTTCAAGGTTCCAGGCGTGACCCCATCTGCTCCAATCTGTTTCAGCTGGCCGCTAGCTGAAAACTGAACACCAGCAGATGCCGTTGATCCGAGGTAGCGCACCAAGCGCTTTGCCACCTCTAACTGCTCCTGAGTGGGCCACTGCACAACTCTGGCCAGCTGCCCCACTCCGAATGAAGCATCAGGTCGCGTATGCACTGCAGCATACATCACACTCCCAATGAGTGACTGATACTCGTTCTGCTGCTCATCCTCGAGTACATCATCCTCCTCAGCTGCCTTCTTCAGTTTGAAGCCCGCAGGGAACGGTGTCATCACAGTGCGACCCCCAGTCACACCATAGCGCTCCATGACACCAGAGATGTAGTGTGACTGATGCATCTTCAGCCACCTCCTCTCAACATCCCTCTCAATCTGCAGCCCCAAGTAGTAGTGGACATCCCCCAGCATCTTGCACTTGAAGTTGTCCATCAGCAGCTTCTGTGTCCTCTCAATCTGCTCCATGGAAGGTGAGAACAGCAGTATGTCATCGACATACACCAGCAGCAAAAGCAGCTGCTCCCCCTCTCCAAGCAGAAACAAGCTGTAATCCGCCTGGGACGTCTTGAAGCCTCCACCCAGCAGCACCTCCTCCAGCTTCTCGTACCAACACCTGGGCGCTTGCTTAAGGCCATAGATGGCCTTCTTAAGCTTGCACACCCGGCTGGTCCCATCCTCATAGCCGTCGGGCTGTGCCATGTAGATATCCTCCAGCAGCACTCCATTGAGGAACGCAGTGGTGATATCCATCTGCTTCACGTGTCATCCCTTCACAGCTGCGCCAGCCATCAAAGTCCTCAGTGTCACTGGCTTAGCAACGGGAGCGAAGATCTCCCCAAAGTTGACCTTCTCTTTCTGCTGAAACCCCTTGGCGACCAAACGGCTCTTGAACCGCTCCAACGCACCATCAGCACCACTCTTCACCTTGAAGACCCACTTGCTGCTGATCGGCCGTCGCCCCTCGGGTAACTCAACAAGCTCCCAAGTCCCATTCTCAATGAGACCGTTGAACTCCGCATCCATGGCAGCGTTCCACTCCTCCATTTGGGGTCCACTCAGTGCCTCCTCCACTGTGGCTGGTTCTCCAGGCAAGGGTGTGAAGAAACAGAACGCCATCTTCTCATCCTCTCCCTCATCCGCCTGAACCGCCATGGCACCTTGCTTGGGTCCTCCCAAACGGCTATACTTCAGCCTTGAGGGTGCTGCTGCCACTCTCTTCTCGCGGGTTGCAATCTGCTGCCCATGTGGTGAAGCTCCTCTCTGCACACTCCTCTTGGTGACCTTTGCGTTTGCAGCAAGCTCGGGCTGAGTTGGTGAGTCCACACGTGCCGACTCATCCTCCAACCCCTCCTCTCCAGCAGGACCAGAAACTTGCTGCTCTCCACCACCACTATGGTCACTGGTCAGCTCTGACCCGTGGAGTTTATCAAGGTGCAGCTGAACCTCCTCCACTGCAGACCGCTCAAACTCCTGCAGACGCAAGCCAATCTGCACCTGCTGCTGCTGCTGCCAGTCCTTGTACATGACGTCCTCCACAAACTTGACGTCACGACTGACCAGCGTCCTCTTGCTCTTGGGGTCCCACATCAGCCACCCCTTCGAGTCAGGAGCCATCCCCAGATGGACAGCCCACACAACAGCAACTTCCAGCTTGTGCCTCTGCTCCTTAGGCACCATCACAAGCCGCATGCAGCCCCACACCCGCAGCATGTCAATGGATGGCTTCTTCCCAAGCCAGCGCTTGTACGGCACCCAATGCTTGTCGCCAACATGTGTCAAGACCCTGTTCTTGACCGTGATGACATGGCGAACGGCATCAGGCCAGAACTTGTAGGGCATCCCACCAGCCCCCAACAAGGTCTTAGCCGCCTCGCCAATGGTCCGGTTGGCACGCTCAGCAATGCCGTTCTGCTGCGGTGTTCCTGGGCAGGTCAGTTGGTGTCGGATGCCGTTCCTCTTGAGAAACTTGGTGAATTCCGCTCCAAGGAACTCTCCACCACGGTCACTCATCAGCACCTTCACCAGCCGCATCGCTTGCCGCTCCACCATTGGCAACCAATCCTCCTTGATCGCCGCTGCAGCTTCGCTCTTCTTGGACAAGGGACGTGCCCACGTGAAACGACTCTATTCGTCCACCATGGTAAGGAAGTACAGCACTCCCCCAGTCCCCTCAGTCCTCATAGGACCCACCAGGTCCATGTGCACCACCTCCAATGGTGCCTTGGCTGATCCCTCTGCACGTGGAAACGGGAACCGCGCAAACTTGTTTTGCATGCACGCCTCGCAGTTGCCATAGTGAGCGCCATCTCCTTGCAGTTGCAGGCCGTGCTCGCACTTCTCCTTGTGCATCACCTCGAATGTAGAAACAGCCACGTGTGCGAGCCGCCGATGCCAAGTCTCCCAATCCGCTTGGCCCGAGGTAGCCGACGCCTTCACCGCCGCGCTTCCTCCTATCAGCTCCTCTCCTTGCACACCTTGCTGCTCCTCCTCAGTGACGCTCTCCTCCATAGATGCCGCCATTGCCGCCTTGCCCAATTTACGCCAAGGGAGGACCGGGATCTGCCACATCCGCTTGTGGACATCCCCTTTCCACTGCAGGTCCCAAATCAGCCGCTCATCGTTGTAGGCACGATAGCGCTCCGAGCCAATCGTCTCGGTGTTCACACCCGCATCTCCCAATCGGCCGGTAGAAATCAGGTTCGCGCACAAGTCCGGCACCCACAGCACGTTCTTCAGCCCCACGAGCTCTCTATCCGCTCCCATGAACTTGGCGCATCCCATGCCCATGACCTTGGCCTTGGCGCCCGTCGCGGATGTGACTGTAGAGATGGGTGCGGGCTGAATTTCATCGAGTAGGTCCGCACGAGGAGTCATGTGCCAAGAGCTCCCCGAGTCAATCACCCAATGGGTGAGGGGGTATAGGAGAACCTTGGCAGCCATAGCGAGGTCGGTTGCGCCTTCGTTCACGAAGAAGAAGAACCCGGCCTTCCGCTCCTCAGCTTTGACGCCTTTCTCCTCATCCTTCTCCTCTCCACTAGCTCCCATGACTCCCCCACTCCTCGTGCCACCACGCTGGTTGCTTGATGAAGGCGGGGTCCAATCCTTGGGTCGTTGGTAGCACTTCCGCCAACGATGTCCGCGCTTCTTGCAGTAGAAGCACACCTCCCCTTGACCCCCGCCGCCATCCTCTTTAGGGTTGTCCTTGTTCTTGCCCTTCCACTTCTTTTTTAAGCCACTCTTTCCACCTCCAACTCCATAACCAGCCCCCTCCTCCGAGCGCTCCACACTCCGCCGCCGCAAGTCCTCCTCTAGGATGCGCGCGCGAATGTAATGCACGCTCTATTGGTGTTGTTGGGAGTTGAGGTTGATCGCTAGGGCAGACCACGACTCCGGCAGCCGTATCACGATCTCCACGCATTGCACGAGCTCCGGGTACACCACACCGCCTCCTTGGAGCTTCGTGAAGATGTCCCGCATCTCATCCAACACCGGTTGCATCGGCTCTCCATCAACGAACTTGATGTCGCGCAGCCGCCGC